TTACGGGTTAAGGAGTATATAAAGATATATATATACAGAGTGTCACCACCCCTATTCATCCTGAGGAAGTCGTAAGAGCCGACTAAGGGAGTACACTACGCAGAACAACAACACTGCAAAGAGAAGCAAAAAAGCGTGGTATAGAAGGCCAAAACCTCCTTTCTGAGGAGAGGCCTATGTCCAGTGGTGGACTAGTAAAGGCTGTTGATGATGATATATATATATGTATATATATCTATGTATACTTGGTTTGTGGACGCTTCAAAAACTCAAAAAGCTCTGTACTGATTGATCTCAAATTTTGACACGGCGGCTTCATAGACTGTTTTTATCATATATTTTTTTTGCGTTGCAACCATCATATGCTATGGCATATGATGGTTACGAAGCGTGGCAGGGTATAGCTGTTTTTTTTGACAAAAATTGACTATTCATAGAGATTGTCAAAATCTATGTAACTAAAATGCAATTGTGTATAAAATTGAACAGTTAAGAAAAGCAAAGGAATATATTTTTATTTTTCTATTGCTTTGTTCCATAAAGGTAAAAGAAAACTGAAATGATTGAACACTCACTCCTACGTATTCATAAAAATGGGATAAACGCATTTTATATTAACATTTGCATATCAAAAGGTTTGGAACAACAAAGGATACCAGACGTTAGTATAAGGCCCTTTATATTCTGAGCTTAAAAGGTTTCAGATTTATATATAAAGCAATAAATTTTTAAGCGAGTGTCTTTTCCTTTTATGGTGATGATTAGATTGAAGTTTTTTATAATGAGAGTACAAAAGTACATTTTAAAATACACCACCACTGCACAAAAAGACTCCTGTGAGAATATTTTCATTTATTTTCAGTCAACCCTTAAGATTATTATTGATAATTAGAAAAAATAAATACATGTATTGAATTGAATATTGAATGTAATTTACTACTAGTCAGATAAGAGAAGGTAAACTTGAAACAAACCCTATACCAACTCTTCTGGCCATCGTGATATAGTAGGCCAAAACCTCCTTTCTAAGGGAAGGCCTTTGTCCAGCAGTGGCCTAGTAAAGGCTGTTGATGATTATGATGATAATTTTGCACTAGTCTTAATTCGTAGGAGCTTTCATATATAGACCTATTTGCAACAAACACTCAAAACATGAGCTAAGCTAAAGGTACTAATAAATATGAAAAAAATATAAAATGCTAAGGTTTTTTTCAATGCATCTATTCAAAGTCTCTTTTATTATATGTATTCTTATCCGATACATCGATGCTCCACCCTAAGATTTAGAGTCAAAATATATGCTTTGGGTATTGTAAATACATTATTTACTTGAACATAGCAATAGAACGTCTTCAGCTAAATTAAGTTATAAAGTGTTAAAATTAAAAGTATAAGCAATTTTTCACTGCCTTATAAAATCAGTAAAAAGGACATTAAACGAATGGCAAGCAACAATCTAAATGAGGCAAATAATAATTTTAAATTAACATCACCATTGCTTTTATTTTTCATTTGCCAATTACATCAATTCCGTAAATATAAAAAGTATATATTTTTAACATCAAAGACAGTTTTCGATTACAGCTTTTTTACATCGCAAAAAATAAAAGGGGCTATATAAAATCAGATTCATCTTTGAATTTCGTAAAAAAAAATGTAAAAAATTGGACTCGTACGTACTTAAGTTTCCTATTAATCAACATAATTAGCTATAAATCTTCTGTTAATAAAGTCTATCATTAATTTAAAGAGAACGGTAAAAATCTTCTTTTTTTATTGAGGAACAAACATGTTAAGACTAAACTTAGATCTACTAATACACCTAATAGTTCCTTTCTTTACAGATGTCCAATTGAGATATAAACTTCTCTACCATTTAAGTTCAAGTAAATTTCAATTTATTTTACAAATATTTTGTAAATAAGACACGCTAAAAAATGAAAACACACAGTGTTTTGTTTTTCAGCGTGTCTGATTTTTTAGAGATTTTACACCCCTTTTAATAGTTATAATATTTTTTGCTCAAGTTGTGTTATATTAACTTAAGGACATATACTTTTATAGTTCAATAACATTTTGGTTTCTTTTAGTACACTATTCTGATTCCAAGCCCGTGTTTGTATAAATTAAGAGAAACAATATCATGATGATCTTAAACATTTGTATAGAAAAATTGCGACAGGCTCGTGCACAGAGTCGCATACGTACGTCACAGTAAAATAATCGCAAAAAGCATATTTTTATATAAATTATAGAACCATTTATTTCTTTAAAAACTTCTGTTCTTTACACTACATCTCAAGTTTCTAAGTAAAGTTAAGAAGTATGTTTATTAATTACCTGTATAGTACTTATTTTATTTTTTATACTTTTACATCCCGTGGGTGCAAATTAGGTAAGTGTTATATACTCATTACATTCAATGTTTAATAATTAATTATAAATGTAAACAATAGTTGGCGAACCTAAGTAAATAAATAAACGTCTCTGTTTCGTACAGAAGTTGTTATTTGGTAACTGTAACTTTATTTCGCACACCATTTTCGGCAGCAATTTTCTCGAAAATATCTCAGAGGAATGGCTACAAAAGCCGTCTTGTGGGCTGTACGTATAAGATAACTCTTGAAATGAGAGTGACTTTGGTTTAAAGAAAGGAAAGGACTATCTGCAGAGAAAATAGATGAAAAGACGACATTGATAAATTTGTAAGATTTTAACTTTGAAATGTTTTTAATAATCCACGCACTAACTTAGATAACTCCTGCCATACAAACTCAAGCACGAACAGACACTTAATTGTAAGTTTTTAGTAGTAAATTTCTTAATCAGTCAGGTTTCTGCAAATTTAGCACTATAACCCTAGTGGTACGTATAAACCTACTAATTCTATCTGTACCTGGTATTGTCGTTTGAGCGCCGAGCGACGGCACTAAGTGACATCTTCTAAATAAGTGAATTGGAAACTGCTCGCGTCGCGTAGTCATCCCGCTCTCAGAGCTAATAAAGCATTAGTAGAGGTATATAGCAGGGCCTGTTCAGGCTGTGTTGTCTAGGCTATTAAGTAATGTACACGATTTTTTACTTAGGAATTACCATCCTAGTAGTTATTCGCAAAATGATCACAAAGTATTAGCATTTTGTTCACCTCTTCAGCTAATTCAATTGTTACAAGTGAGTTCAAATTTGTGAGGTCTAGGATTAGAACACGTGACGCTTCACTTCAATCTATGATTATATCACAGATATAAAGTTATGTTTTAAACCTGAATCCTATTTTTTCTGTAGGGGAATTCAAGCTTTCATTCCCGTTTATACAAAATATAGGTATTATGGTCCACTAGGTATCATTATTCTATAATATATTATAGAAATGTTTACCTACACACATATACAGAATACCTTGAACATAAAGGAGTTCTGTTGAATGTTGCAGGGCCGCTGCGATTTTACATTCATACACACTTACCTCTGATTATCCCCCAAGGGGTATTTAGATAGAATTTAAAAATATAGGCTAACTAGGTAATAACTGGCAAGCCTTTAACCTTTGTGAATTAAAAATGGACTGTGTATATTCTCATTGATGTGTAATGTGTAATAATATGTACCTATTCAAATCAACAAATAGTGGATAGAAAAAATCATACCTTTTAACTTTGTTAACCGGCACGTGCTCCAATTAATGTTCAGTTCAACACTGAATAAAAATCATAAAATGTAGTTACTTAACGGGGTACGAACCTCTGTTACGAGAAAAAGATTTTTGGAATCGCTTGCGTGTGAAATAATTCGTTCTTAAACCAGATTCAGAATTTATGTGGTAAAACCATGATATATTTTACGAGTGTAAGGCATTCCCTTTTAAGCAGAAAGTAATAAAATTATTATTATATTATGCTCATAAATCTGGGCTATATTTAATACTTGTAATGTATGCTCGTCCGACGTACTTATTTGCTGTGTATTAAATTGAGTAATTGTGAATACGCAGCTATGATCTGATGACTAGTGGCGTTTAGCAATTACATTTCACGTTTTTATTTGTTCTGTAACTTTAGTTTACGCTTTTGATATTTGCTGTGTAAAAACCTTGCCATAGGTAATTACATGGCTGATAAAAAATCCGTTTTGTGTTCGCTTAATCGTTTATTGTTCTGTAGGAGCCAAGAAATGCTCATTAAATGAAATTAAACTTCGAAGGCTGTTTAGTGTCTTTGGTGACAAAAGCTGCCTTTGTAGGACACCGATTGAAAAACATTGTGATTTAATAGTTAGATAAAAAATGTCAGGGATCACAAAAGATCTAATCAAAATTTACAAAAATATTTAGATCTTCTTTTCGACAAACTTAAGGTTTTAAGAAATTGTTTATACCAGTAATGACGTAAGCATGTTACCGACGCAATAGCTTAACTCTGTGAAATCTAACATTCTTAGAAAACATTCAAAAACAAACTTGTCTAAAATTCTCAAAAAAATCTCTTTATATCATTTAATACAGTTATAAAATTACAGTGTACTTGACAAAAAGCGGCCGTAAATTAATAGTTCAAATATAAATCACGAATATTCAGCAAATAAATATAAAAACATTGTTGTTAACCTTTACATAGATTATTTTTGCGAAAAGCACTTATTTTTGCGTATATTATTGTCACTTTTTTAACCTAGAATAAATTAGGCAAACTGAATTTTAGACCAAATTGATTTGCTTGCTACAAAATACAATTTTAAATTGATAAGCGATTTTATTAAAAGAGCTACTGATAAAATCTCTTATCATTATCCGATATCATTATTAATATTTTAAATTATTTATTTACTAAAACAAATATATAGCGCAGTGGTAGTCTTTATTATTTTAAGTTCGTTATCAATCGTCGAGTTACAATTACACTTAAGTAAAGTGACAATGTAATTTTCTACACTGAAGTTATCAATTTTGTTATTATTATCTATTATCTTGATATTGTGTATAATTTTGTAATGTGGCATTTCAAATGCATTTACAGGGCCATATCAATGAACCCTTCCCAGACGTTCAAGGTGAGATGTAAAAGCAGGGTCTTGAATCACCGGTAGCTGGCCCAACCACACCGTCATTAATCGTAAAAGTATCTTCAAACATCTAACACACGGATGTCTAATTCCAAGTATAGCAGGGCATGCATTAAAGTTATGCTGAGAATGAGAATGCTAAGAAATAAGCATTACACCACATTACAGACAAATTGAAACCAGTCACTGATGTGAGACAAATGATCGTGATCATCCTGCGTTTATCAGTCAGAAACATTAAAACGTACATAAAGAAGATACAACGAAGAAAGAAAGAAAAGTTTTAAATTAATTGAATTGTTAAAGTTACAAATTTCAATTCAATATTATCAAATTAATCGGTGTGGTGGGCGTTAATTGAGCGCTTGTGGTTCGTTTACTAGTCGCTCGTCACGACTTATTGATCGCTTGATTACAATGAAATTATTGAATAATTTTTGTGGTATTCTATTGAATTAAGTTGAATTTATTCAATCATTTTTTCTCTCATTCTCTACTATTAAAGACTTACCTTACTTAATACTACTATTATATATTGTCACATTTTATTAAAAACTAGTTGTATCCCGCCACGATTCGCTGTCTCACATTGTAGTTAAAAGTGCCGCGAAAACTAATTAAAAACCATTTCTTAATCGTGTTGTTTACCGTGTCAAAATTTGACAGACTTAGCAGAACTTTTTGAGTTTTTTGGAGCGTACACAAACCAACTTAACATTTTTATATATATAGAAGACTCTGGGTTATTAGAAAGAAATTAATTGATAAGATGTATGCGCTTCTTTTGAAATACTTTCTCTTTGAAGTGTTGGAATTATATCACATCTAATTTCAGTATATTATATTTAGATAATGACAATATTGCTAAAACATTCAGATTAGGATATTTTTAAATAAACTACCAACACAGATGCGTCGCAACATCCGGGAACCGCAAGTGCTGCCAATCAATTTCGAAAAACAAGTAAGAACACACAGAGCTGACCTTCAAAGCAAACCTTTGCTACTCGGAGATACATTTTAGGAAGAAGACAATTTGTAGATCGAGGCAAGAATTCCAAGTCGGGGCAAGACTGCAGGCAGAGCGCGCCCTCGCTTGTGCCGTCCCCTCACCCATCTTCCGTTTGTCGCTTCTTCGGCGGCCGGCGTACTATGGCGGATTTTGACGCATACAGGTGGTTGCCGGCGCCGCGGTATTCTCTAAACGCGATCTTCAATCCGCGGTCGGTCAGTCTCAAAGCACGCTTAAAATATCCTCTGTCTCCGGCCTACCGCAAGCTGGTGAACAGGAGTTCACCAGCTTGCGGTAGGCCGGAGCAAAAACAAGGGCGCACTGTGCAGTGCCAGCTGAAGGCCCCGCGCCGGCACGACAGCTGCTCGACGTATTGCGAGGGATTTTCTCTCATAACTGTGCGCTGTGGTAGAGAGAGTCCACTTTGATACTCACGGATTTTGCAGGCCATAAGGGTTTACATCGAACTGTGAAAATACATACGGGAAATTAAAGAAAGCAAAAAAAAGAAACGTACCTTTCTGTAACAGATTGAACTAAATCATGAAATGTATTTAAATTATCTACTAATGAATTGCTCCCAAATATGTTACTGCTACTGCAGCTGTTGAACGACTTCCGAATGATTAAATTGAATATATTAAAGTGCTTTTGGCGTGTGTGTTGTGTGTGTGTTGAGTTGTGTTGTAAGTAGCTTTGAAGCTTTTCAATGCTGTTGAAATAGCTTTGACAAGAGTTTTCATCACTAGAATATTGCATTTTGGTTCTTATCATCAACTGGTGCTAATTTATATTAGTGCTAATTCATATTAATATTTATATATTCGATGAATTTCACCGAGCGAGTAAAAAACAGTGAGTTAGCAGAAGATAAAACCAACTTCCATTAAAATTTCAGTTTTCATCATTGTAACATTCTAGTCGTTTTAAAAGTCACGACTATACACTACAAAGATATCTTTAAAGTGATCAACTGACGAAGGTTTTTCCGGTTAACCCATGTCAAAGATAAGCCGGAGTAAAAAACTGCGACTGATATCTAATAGGAATCCATACCATAGACAAAACAAAAACAAAAGTTTCTTCGCCAAATGTCCGGTTTAGTTTTTACTTCGGTTATCAGACGACCAACGAGGTCGTCCTACAATACAAAATAAAGAACAGTTTATAAAATCCGAATATAAAAAAATACTGTTTTGTAAATAGAAAAAGAATTTCACTTGCGAATTATAATAAAATTTATATCACTAGTTTTTAAACTTTCATATTTCATTATACTCGTAATATATTATGTAATTAATTTTAGAGTGATCATATAGTAAAGTGGTATTTTGTAATCGACCGACCAAAATCAAAATTCAATCTCAATACAAGGGATTCGTATACTCTTGGAATGAAGTTCTAGTCCTAGAAAACCCCGGTAGACCTTGGCCACCATAGGCAGCCACACCATTAAGTGCAGAGCAGAGGAACATGTCGCGCCACCACGGCACCGTCTCAATAACGTCACGTAAACGTCTACGAGTATATACCTTTGTATTGTTACTTGCTCCACCGCTGTGGGCTTTCTAGACACTCTCCTATTATCGTCTGCAGTATTTCCGGACCGATACGACCTTTAAGAAGAAAGCGTACTCCTTCCTCAAAGGCCGGCAACGCGCTTGTTACTCCTGAGTTGCAGGTGTTCAAGGGGGCGATAGTCACTTTCCACCAGGTGAACCGTCTGTTCGTTTGCCCCCCCCCCCCCCTCCTCTCTATGTGTACTTGTCTGTAAAAAATATTTTAAAAGAAAAATATATTTATCTTTATTCCACAAACCATTTTTTTAAACTGTCTTTACATGAATACTGTCAAGAAGATTCAGAACAAGATTGCACGTTACAAATTGAGTGCCAAGTAACGAGCGAAGTTTATTAATAGATAAAACATTCTACATTAATTGCTTACCTAGAACTCGCAGTTGCGCTCAGGAACAGAACTGGACATCATAAATAAACCTCCTTGTACAAAGTTTCACTGGGGTAGTACTGTCCATAAATTAACTGATTAGGAACTTGGTGCAACACCGTTTGCTGTTTCTTAAACTTACTAAATACCTCATACGATCGTCCAAAGTAAATAAAAAAAAAAACATTCATAAGAATGAAGTTGTTTTGTTGTTTTTATGTGCGTAAGTTGAGAACGGCTCGATTGAATTTATTTTTATATATTAATTAAACTAATAAAAAAATTAATTTAAAAATAATTAATATGATAATATCACTTAATATAATAACAAAATGCATATTTAAAAAAATAAAGTAATATTTTGTTGGTGATGTTTGATGTTAGGAACCAGTAGTAGAAATTGCAAAATTAATTTTGTGTTGTATAGTCCATTTATCTATATATAGGCTCTAGGCTGTTACATCATGCTACGAATAATAGGAAAACTTTCATGTTACCTTTCATGTTATTAGGACGTGTTTTACGTGATCGAGGAGTTCAACTTTTATTTCTCTGCAGCCGCCTTAGCCTAGTGAGAGAGAGAGAGAGAGAGAGAAAGAGAGAGAGAGATTAGGTAATACAGCATATTGTTTTAGAAATAAGAAAGCTGAACAATAAATAAATAAAAAATTCGAAAACAAATATATACAGCTGTTGTAAATAAAACACATCTAACTAGGAACAGAAATTCCTTTAAAGCAATTAAATCAATATTTAAAATTATTTATACAAAACAATTACTTACGTATTTTATATTACCTTTATCACAATCCCTATATACCTGAAATAAACGAACTATGAATCACATTTATATTAAAATGATATGTAGGTACAGCCTAAAATACAGCTAAATAGGAGATTTAAACTTACCCCAAATATATATATTGAATGTTTATATTTGTTCAGGTATTACTGTTTCGTGCCAAAAAGCCGCCGTTTCGTATTTTTTCTAAACATCTGAGGACACTTAGGTTTTTAAGACGATTAAAACGATAGCTTAACCAACGAAATCGTTCCAGTCATTTGGAAGATACGAGGTAATAAGGCATTTACAAAAAAAACATACATACAAGATACGCGCGAAAAACATAACCCTTCCTTGGAAGTCGGGTAAAAAGAGTTCAAAAGAAAATTTCATATAAATTTAAATGGACTAACTGACTTATTGACTACCTTTGTTTGTTGCTAATTTATTATTTCATCATTACTAATTTATTATTTGGAAAGCGTAAAAACATGTCAAACCTGCTTTACTCGATACTATAGAAATCGTAATAATTCTTATTATTAGGATTTTTGTGCTCGATACCGACATGTTGTGCATAGAGCCCTTATATCCGCGTTGTGTTGCCATATTTCACTACATTTATGACTATATGATTTTCCACCGGAATATTTAGGCCTTTGATTACAACTGGTTTGAATGATCTAAACTGTGCTTTGGAGCATCAAACACGTTATGTTATATCAAAGGTCTATTTCCCGCCGTTTGTGGTGTCCTGTTGTTGTTGAGCTTCGCATGCGAGTGTATTTTTGCTTTTAATATTTATACGATTACTTTAACTATACAAAAACTTAAAACACAATCCAATTATTTGCACATAATAAATCCAGTAATGTCTATCGCTTAAAACTGCACAAATACCAGTATCTTGGTGAATTTCTGCAACATAAGGGACCTTCACTTCAACCTCAACGCTGTCCACCACCACCTTGAGACAGTGAAGCCGCCCTTTCTCTTTTTAACCGGGACGCGAATATCATCTGGAACACTCCTTTGTTACTAGGGCTGGTGTGTACGTTAAAGGTGATATCAGCAATCTTGAAGAACGGGACATCTTGTGGCTCCGTGTAGACAGCGACTACCATCCCCGCGTCTATGCATGCCTCTACAGGTCCCATAGCGGTGACACCGAAACCGACTGACTGATGGAACACGTCCAAATGGCTACAGATTCCGTTCTGTGTAATAAATATTTTTATGTAAGTGTCTATGTACTTTTCTAAAATGTAGGCTTTAGGAAGTGTAATATACTTTACATGTAAATCGTTATTTAACAGTTTGTAAGAATCAGCTTTACTGTTTTCGATTATAATAGTTGGTCCTGTGTAAGTATATCGAACGGTTTCAAGCTATGATCAGAAGTATGAAGTTACTAGTAATACTACTAGTTAATTTAAGTCAAATATTTTTAACTATCACTAAATTATCACGCTTATGAGACTGATAAAAATGCTGATAAAAACCTACTTATTAAGTGCTTTAATTTGATAATTAAGACGAAAAAGGCATTACACATTGAATTTTGTTCCCAACGGAATTTAAAATAGGGGTTAATATTGGTTGCACTGTCGCAGTTAGTAAATAAATCAAGAAACACTTCTGGTTCGTTCTAATTGAGCCTTCAGTCTCAACTGTCCAACTGGCAACGTTAAAGTGACACAAATTGAAACTTAGACGTTTTAAGTAGAAAATAAAAACTAACATCTTTAAAATGTATAATCATTTCATGAACTGGTTTGATCAACTTATAAATGAATACAAAGGCTAATAAGTTGTCCAACTGATGATTTATATTATAAAATTAGTTTCTCTAAGGCATTTTGCATGTTAAAGGTAAAAATCTCGTATTTGATTTTTTCTTTGTTGTTTCCTTTCGGGTTTCCTTTAGCATATTAAAACTTATTTATTTTTTATACATTTTAAACACAAGTGAATGTGAAAACTTTTCATGTTTTAAGTTATAAAGAAGTAGAATCGCTTGTACCCATTTTACTCAGAATACAATAGACATTCTGTTTTAGGTTGACATCTGTGTGGGCCTCTTTAGAGGTAGGTAAAAATAAAGGTAAGTCACGGGTCGAAAGATTTCTTGGTTATGTCTGCAACATGGTTTTATTTCAGGACAATTATACGAAAATATTTGATAGAATTCGGGTTTCTTTTTACGCCTACAATTTGAGAACAGATACATAATCTAGAAATATTAGGTTATGTATTCTACAGAACGCATTAAGAAGGAATTGATGCAATTTGTTAGTAAAATAATGCCGGATACTGTTAAAAAAAGACAAACTTTTTTAGGTTTTCGATAAGCGACAACAACCCTTAGTTATGAAACAAAAGTGTACGGTTGTAATAATCATTGCAAAACTTACCATTAACAGTAGTGTTAAAACTTAAAGCACTCAACATCAAACACAGCACTGAATCTACTTTAAAAATCTAAGTGAGAATAAAACAGTAAGCGAAACAACTCTAGCGTTATAAGTTAAAGTCGCAGCTCAGATGGCGGCTTAGCTCTAAGTCGAGTGTACTGTGTTTCAGGAATAAATAGTTGTTTAAAGTGAAATGGGTCGAGTGTAAAGTAATATCTTGTTATGCCTTTGGACATTGTTCAACTTCACGAATGGCGTAGTGGTTTAAGCGGTCGCCACGCCG